GAACTAGTGGGAGAGGATAGTTTTAGTTTGTGAAATGGAAAATTATTTCAATTACTTACAGCTTTGTTAATAAATTACATTTGAAAATATTACTATTTCTGCAACAGACACACCAACACACACATCAAACTTTTTTCACTTCCACTTTTCAATTTTTAAAGAAACTGATTGGATTTTCAGGACATACAAGAAATGAGAAATAATTGCCATTACTAGGAAATTATACAGCTTGGAATTTTTTTAACTTGATATAAGCATAGACAGCACTTCTTGGAACTATTTAATGTATACGTAACATTCACTTTTATTATAACCCTACATTAAATCCCATTGGCCAAAAGCAAGTTATAGTTCCTCTGGTTGCTGGCCAAAGTACTGGTAAGATCAGCACCATGGACAGAGTAAAGCTGTGTGAAAGGTTACTATTCTGAGGCTGCTAGTAAAATAGCAACTATGCTATTAGATATGCCACCAAGGAAAGACTGGTGTGACTGCTCCTATGGGGATCATGGGAAGAGAGTGCCTCTGGGATTGGGTAAACCCAGAGGATGGAGGTCTTGAGAAAATAACCATTTCCTCCATGATGTTTCAGAGTAGCATGACCTGCTTCACTTAGTGACCTATATTGATTCATTACTTTTTCGACAATCTGTTCCTCTGTTCCCAAAGCACTAACATTTTCACACTGAACTAAATGTAAACACCTAATTAGCAAATGTGAGACATCTGTTCTTTTTACCTGCCCAGTATCCATAATCCTTTTTTCCCTTGCAAACCACCCTTCAAATAAATACGCTATTTTAAAAAGATATTAAGCAATTGTTGATGCTATTGGGGAGAGTTTATGACAGCATTAAAGTTGTGTTTAAAATAGTAGTCCCTGTCTTTTAGTGACACACTCTGATAACTGCAAATAAAATGATTCTGGGATTTGCCTCAAAATAATCTGAGATCAATGTAACCAATGTCACTAAAGAACTTGTGTAGAAATCATTGTATGGGAACCTAAACTTCTGTGTAAACCTTCACTGAAAACACAACAAAATATTATTTAAAAATAGTAATAATCTGGGATCTGGGAAATGGGTAGAGGCATAGGGAAGACAAGGTTGGCCACTGAGTTGCTGATTTAACAAGGTTAACAGGTTGGAGGACACAAACATGAGAGTTAACTCTACTTTTGTATATGTTTGAAATTTTCCATATGTATATATATATGGGTGGCACAGTTAAGTGCTCGACTATTAACTGAAAGGCTGGCAGTTTGAGCCCGCCCAGATAATCCTCAGAAGAAAGGCCTGGCAATCTGCTTCCAAAAGGGCACAGCCTTGAAAACCCTATGGGGTACAGTTCTACTCTGCAACACACAGGGTTGCCATGAGTCAGAATGTACTCAACAGCAACTAGTGTGTAAGATAGATAGATATGTTACTGAGAAGCCACCAAAAGAATGACAATAATTCCTGAAGCTCTTATGGTCCTGCTTAAGAGATAATGCAGAGAAAGCCCTAGTGCCCTTTGCTCCAAAAGGAGCTTTAAGTAGGTTGCACCACGTAGACTTAAGATTTTGTCTTGCTTAAAATCATGTGATGGAATAGGAAGTTCAGATGTCCAGGGATAATCATTTTCTTCTGCAGCAAGATGTCTCAGGAGAGCAATTTCTAAGAACTGAAACCTTTTCCTGTACTTCCCCTGTCAAGAAGCAGCTGGGGGCAGCATGGAGTTGCCCTAGCTGGGGCTGAGTTGGGGACAGGTTGTCTGGTTGTGGTGGTGGAGCCAAGGGAATTGCAACAAAGTTCTAAGTCAGTACCAAAATAACAACAAAAACACATTGTTAAATAGAAAATGAGCTAGATAAGTAGAGGGAATCAAGGTATGAAGCCAAGCAAATCAGAGTGGAGGGGAAGTAAAGTGTAAAGAGGAAGGAGAGATACAAAAGGAAAGCACACCTAAATATTTCCCTGGGGGACCCTGTTGGGGACTTTTCATGCAATAGCCATGTCAGAAACAAATAAGGAGCCAACAGAGAGGTTGATGGATAAAATAAGAAAGAAAAGAAAAAGTCTTTTAAAAATTGTGAAGCAGTGCACACATGGGAAAAATTGCTGGCAGGCTATGGACAGCAGATAAGGTTGTTTGAGTGTGTATTACATGTGAGACACTGTTCTAAGCACCTGGCACACAGTGGTGAAAAACTTTCTGCTTCGCTGGGTTAACGTTCTAGTGGGGAGACAGATAAGGCATGTATTTGCCAGTTATTTAAAAGTATAACATTTTCATCTAAAAAGGCTGTTTTCCAGCTCCTTTTAAAAAATCAGAAGATCTGGCAAGGCTCAACACATGTTCTTGCATGGCAACAAGTGGTGGGAACCAATGACTGTGTCCATCAGACAGGAAATGTGCCCTGCAGTTCTTCACAGTCCCCACCATTCCCTATTGTCTTATACCCTGATTACTGCACTCTTGTATGTTACCTGCCTGGGCCCCACAGGTTTTCAAGTTTGTGACTCCTTCTCTCTGTCCCTGAGCTGCTTGTGATTCTTGTCTCTCCTAAAACCACCAAATGCTCCCCTCCCAAAACAAAAAACAAAAACCCAAATGCATTGCGTCGAGTCAATTCCAACTCATAGCAACCCTGTAGGACAGAACGGAACTGCCCCATACAGTTTCCAAGGAGCAGCTACTGGATTCAAACTGCCGACCTTTTGGTTAGTGGCTGTTTAGCAGCCAGGCTCTTAACCACTGCACCACCAGGGCTCTGTCAAACGCCCAAGGAGCATATAAAAGACCCTATTCTGAAATGAATCTGAATCCTGGGTTGCCGCTTAACCTGAAGTAACTTCGGACAATTACTTCACTTTGCTGAGGTCTCAACGCCCTCAACCCTAAAACGGAGGTTAATTATATTTCCTTATAGGATTTTTTGTGAAGATTAAGCTTTGCCTAATTAGCAAAGAGTGTCCTCCTTTGGATCTCACCCCTATCATTACTTCTTCAAAGAAACTGCCCAGTCCCCCTGACTAGATCAAATCCCTATAATATGCATAGGCTCTCAGTGACACCTTCGTCTTCATGGTAGCACCTGCCAAAGTTACAGCGGTACATTAGTCTGTGGATTATTTTATTAACGTCTGCCTCTCCCACCAGAATGAAAGCTCAACAATAGTAGGTGATCCTGGTTTTGCTCACCACTGCTTCTCCACCACCTACCATGTCTGGCACAAAGTAGGTGCTCAATAAATATTTATTTTTTAGAAAGAAAGCCGTGTAGACTTTGGAATAACCCCTGGTATATACAAGCTACCCGAAAGAGTTACTCTGACCCTCCCTCATCGAATGTCTGTTATGTACATAGTACTCCTGGTAGCCTCTGCGCTGCTAGAATTTGCACAAGTTTTAGCTAAGCCTTTTCCTGAGAAAGAAAAATCGCTAAATCCTGTTTTCCAATAGGCCCTGAAGCCCCGGTGGCACAGTGGTTAAGCGTTCAGCTGCTAACAAAAAGGTTAGCAGTTCCAATCCACCAGCCGCTCCTTGGAAACTCTATGGGGCAGTTCTACCGTCCTACACGGTCGCTGTGAGTCGGAATCGACTCGACAGCAACGGGTATCTGCCACCTAGAACAGGGATTTTTGTTTTGTTCATTGATGTACGCCAGGCGCCTACAAACAGTGTCTCGCATACTTAGTAGGTGCTCAATAAACAGTGGCTGAATGAATGAATAAGGGCATAGTTCCGAGCAAGCCAGCACCTAGTTTTACGGGGCTTGAAGACCTGGATAGCACTCCCCGGGGCACTTGGGAGGCAGAAGGGTCTGCTCGGATGAACTCTGGACCAGAGATCGCCCTCTCACTGTATTTGGTCACACCACCCTCCCCAAAGTCCGTGGAAAATGTGAACCCCCCAAAGCGAAAAAGTCTTTGCGCTGCTCCTCGGCGACGGGATAGGGCCATTCACAGTCCCCGCCGCTCGGCCCCGGGTCCCTCCGAGAGGGAAGAACGCTTAGCGGTGGGTCCCGCTAGCCTGCCAAAGAGACGCCAACACAGTCCCTCCGCCTTGTCCCTCCGCAAAGGAGTCCCTACTCCTCGCGTCCTTCTTCCGCTACAGATAGTACTTGGCGCTTCCTCTCTAGTAGTGCACCTCCGCCTCAGAAGCCACCGCTTCCCAGATTCCTCGGCTGAGGAACAACTCCCACCCCCTCCTTTCTGGTATTGTTCCAACATCTCTGGTTAAATGTCTACTTGCCTCCCGCGGTGTCCCTCCGCCCCAAGGAAGTTATTCCCGCGTCCCTCCACATCCTAAGTCCCTCAGCGGCAAGTCACTTCGCTGCGCGCTCTCGCGAGAGTCCACCGCGCAGCCCCACCTCCCTCGAGCCCCTCGCCTGTGAGGAAGCCTCCTTTTCAACCCCTTGGCGCGCGGACGCGGAGGGCGCATGCGTTGCCGCGGCTCCCAGCGCCCCCCGCGCACTCTGCGGATCGACCGGACGAGGCCGAGTGGGAGGAGGTGGCAGCTGCTCGGTTCAAGGCCTGTCTTCGTCCTGCGGCTCCTGTGCCCTCAAGGGCAGACTGCTTCGCGCCTTTCTCCAGCGTGCAGAGGCTTGCCGTGGACGGCCTGGGCCTCCGTGGGCCCTCAAGAGCCCGGCACCAGTCTTCGACACCGCTGGCCGCCACCGGACACCCGCAGCACCCTGGGCGCACCACCGTGACCCAAGATTCGAACCCTTGGCCGGGCGGGGCCTGACCATCCGACCCCACCTACCCAGGGTTTCACCTCCCGGAGCCCAAACCCGGGGTAGCTGACACCCCCCCCTCCCAGCCAGGCTGTCTGCCCCCGCCCCTCCTTTTCTCAGTCTCCCTTATTTTCTCCCAGTTCTCGGTCCTCGCTATTTCAGAGATTGCATTACAAAGGGGATGCATTCTGGAAAACCACATTGCGGGGACACATCCTGTCTGCAGAAGAGGTCGGGTTTTTGGGCCTTAGGGTACACAGTCCCCTTTTCAAGGGCGTAGAATAGATTTCATTAATCAGCCGGGAGTACCTGGTTTCTGCTGACAGTGCCGTTTTTACCGCCCTGCCTTCCCACTCTTCCAAGAACATTAAGCAGGGAGCTCTTGGAAGCTTACTTGGGCCCCTACTTGCAGCAAGACGCGAGGTTGAACCCGTGATTGGAGCATGGCTGCAGCGCTGAACCCTCAGATCGACGCGCCCCTGGAGGTTGCGGGGTGCCTAATAATGAAGATGGAAAAGGACCCCGAGTGGGCATCGGAGTCCATTACGGAAGGATCAGATAGCTCCGAGTCTGAGACCTTTCGCAAATGCTTCAGACGGTTCTGTTATGAGGATGTGACCGGACCTCATGAGGCTTTCAGTAAACTCTGGGAACTTTGCTGCCGGTGGCTGAAGCCAGAAATTCGTTCCAAGGAGCAGATCCTTGAGCTGCTGGTGATTGAGCAGTTTCTCACCATTTTACCGGAGAAGATTCAGGCGTGGGCACAGAAGCAGTGTCCGGAAAGTGGAGAGGAGGCAGTGGCCCTGGTAGTGCATTTGGAGAAAGAGACTGGAAGACTAAGACAGCAGGTGAGAGAGGATTTTCCAAATGATTGTGTTTGCAAAGAAGGGAGTGGGAAAAGCAGGTGGGCAGGAAGCATTCCAGGAATTGCTCGTTATGGAATGATAAATGGTTGTAATAAAAGAAACTTAAAGTGAATCCGGAGCCCTGGTGGCGCGGTGGTTAAAGAGCTCGGCTGCTAACCAAAAGGTCGACAGTTTGCATCCACCAGCCGCCGCTCCTTGGAAACCCCATGGGGCAGTTCTACTCTGTCCTAAAGGGTCGCTAGGAGTCAGAATCGACTGGACGGCGACGGGTTTAAAGTGAATCCACTTAAAATGGGGACCAAAATATCACAAATAGAGGGAAAAAAATAAGTGGTTTGGCTGAAACATTATCTTGCAAACAAAACGAAATATTTATACGTGTATTTTAAATCCTTGACATGTTTCTGACAAAATTATATGAGAGGAAGTACAGTTAGTTGTTTCCCTGGGTTTGACTTTTGCAGCTTGATCCTAAAGAGGGCTGTTTTTTGCCTTCCTCTCTCCTTCAAAAAAACAACAAGGCCTTTATCAGTTATCCCAGGACCATCTGGAATCCTTTAAGATTCTAGTCTGTGGCTTCTGAAGTGTCTGTCAATGTCACCATCCTGGTCACTCTTCTCTGGTTTAACGGCCAGGCCCTCATTTGTCAAGGGCTTTGTATGCTCTTGTTGTTTTTTTAACATCCCTTCATTAGCGTTATGGAATCTTGCATCATTTGCAAGATTTGCAGTTTCACCTTGCACAGGATTTGGCATTGTGTAAAGATCTATGAGCAGATTGCTGTGTTTGTTGGTCAGGGATGGATACTAGATGTCTTAAGTGGGAATTAATTTATAAATTTTCAGTTCACTAATGAGTATATTGATATTCTGATGACTTTTACTTTTCTGTGGACCTAATAGATGTGGGGGCTCAAATGATGTCTATTCTAATACGAAAGAGGTTCTGTTTTTCACTCCTGACAGATTTTCTCTATATTATAGATTTCTTCTCTATTAGTAAAGAGTACTCTCTTCTTCTCCCCAAACCTCTGGACAGTGCTGTTAACCCAGTGCCCTCATTCTTTCTCACATCTTCTACTTTTCTTTGATATCTTTCTTGGGGGAATTTGGCCCTGATCTCGACCTCTTTTTTTCTGTCTTTCCGTTATGGTATCGGACTTATTTCCTAGGTCAGCAGTCCTGTGCACTCAGAGAATCAGTCTTCACTTGGAGCAACATGGGAGGTGGCAGACTTTCAGCCAGAACAAGTGGAGACCCAGCCCAGGGTGGTGTCCCTGGAGGAACCTGGAGGCCTCCACTCAGGATGCCAGGAACAGCTGAACCGTAGAAGAGAGCATCGGCCCTTTCCCAAAAAGGGTAAGAACTCAGAGCATGCCTGGGGCAGAGACCACAGCAAATTTATTTTGCATCCCTAACAATGTGACTTGCTTAGAGTAGGATGCTTTCAATACGTATTTGAAAATAGATTGAGTATTTGCAGAGAAAGACTTCTTTAGCTCCAAGAGCTGGGAAATGTGCAACATAAGAAAAAGAGATCTTAAAGATGGGAAAACTTAGATTGTGCAGGCTGGCCTTGAAGTCTTGTCGAGTAGTGTTTTTTACAGATCTCTCTTGTTCAGTCAGCTTGTATTTTTTAGTCTTGTCATGTGATGTTCTTGGGTGACTATAAACAACTTGGGAAACTGTTGGAAAGGGAAACAATACATGTATTTTCAAAAGTTGACTCACAAGTTGAGGCATCACAGAAGTAGCCTATGAGAGGGACAAACAATAAGACTTCATAAAGAAAGGACCACTAATGTTCATAGCTTCCCTAGACAGTAATGAAGCAAGTCAGATACAAGGAAATAAACACCCTGTCCATGCCAGTCCATAGTGATCTCTTTGTCCCCAAGGTATGATATCAGACTTAGAGGAATGGGAAGATCATGAGACCTTCAGTCAAAAAACAGGTTTATATCCTGTCTCTGCCACTATCTAGCTATGTGATCTTGGGCAAGTTATATAAAAAGAGGCATTAATGTGTAAAGGGTAAGAGATTAGAGTTTGGATGTAGACAAACCTGGGTTCAAACCGAGCTCTGCCATTTTTTATTTGTGTGGCTTTGGTTAGGTTACTTAACTTCTCAAAGTTTCCATTTTCTCATCTATAAAAGTGTTGTTAGTGTAGATTGAATGAGGCCCTGAAAAAGGGCCCATGCGTAATGCCAAAAAAACCCAAACCCATAGCTGTCGAGTCAATTCTGACTCATAGCAACCCTATAGGACAGAGTAGAACTGCCCCATGGGTTTGCAAGGCTATAAATCTTCACAGGAGCAGACTGCTACATCTTTCTCCCAGGGAGCAGCTGGTTAGTTTGAACCACTGACCTTTCTGTTGGCAGCCGAACACTTAACCACTGCACCACCAGGGCTCCTATAATAGTGCTCAGTAAATATTAATCTCCTTTCTTCTGTGATGGCACAGTTGCTTTTAAACCTCAAACTTATACAACCTCTCACTGAGGAGCAAGATTCACTACTACTATACCTCACCTATTTACCCTGCACCAAATCATATTATGGTAGAGTTCACTGCAAATATTAATGGTGTCTCAATTATCCAGTGTATGTTCATGAGCGTTAAAGCTGTCATATTCACATGGATTAGATGCCCTCAGATACTTTAGCTGATAAACTTCGTCTGATAAATACCTATTGTGGTGTTTCTGGGTTTTACCATCCAGGGTGATAAGAAATTCCTAAAGTGGAAAAGTTTGTTCTGTCGAGGTATTTCCTGGGGGTGGGGAGGATAAGATAGCTCAGACAGGTGAATTCGTCCTCAAGGAAGAACCACTATTTCAGGCATATATGCAAAGCAGCACTTCAGTTTGCTTTTGTGGAAAGTCGTGGAGCAAGCTTTTGAGTTCTTAGTTACAAGTGAAATTTATTTTTGAAGTTTTTCCCAGATAGTGAGTTCCAGGATAGAAGTTAGACCGTGTATTGCATTATATATAAGTTTATCTACCTTCCTTCCACCCTTCTCGTTGTTGTTAGTTGCCATCAAGTCGATTCCGACTCATGATGACCCCATGTGTGCAAAGTGGAACTGTTCCATAGGGTTTTCAAGGTTGTGACCTTTCAGAAGTGGTGCCAAGCATTACTTCTGAGGTGCCTCTGGGTAGGTTTGAACCACCAACCTTTCAGTTAGTAGTCGAGCGCTTACCCGTTTGCACCACCCAGGTTGCCTTCCTTCCACTCTGAGAGGGGCGTTTGCCTGTAGTGTCCAGTACTATGTATATTAAACCCTTTAGGGTGATATTCATTCATAGGTTATTTACTTACACTACAGATCACAAACTGATAACCCATATGCCAAGTCACACTTGTTTTGTTTCGCCTATAAAGAGTTTTTGTTTTTTTAATTTGTTCAGTTTGCAGAGTTTAAGATTTTGAGATTTCACATAGAAGTCCAGATTTCTGGCTTCTCCTGAAAAATTAGAAGCTCTGGCTATACTTGGGCCATAGTCTCACATTGTAGGATCAGCTGGAGCGAGCATTGGCTGTGCCCTTCAATGGGACATGCAATCTCAAGTTCTCCACAGTCCCTCCCTGGCCCCTTTCATCATGCACTTTGCTTGCTTACTCCTGAAAGCATTTGAGTTTGTGAGCCCTGGCTTGGGGTACCGTGGTTTAGGCATTATTCTGAATGCACTGAGAAAATGATTGATTTATATTTGTTGGTTGTTACCACATGCTCATTTCTTAAGAGAAGAAGCAGCATGAATGAAAGGGCCAGAGTCCAGGACACTAATTATGTCTTTCTCTTCTAACAGCTCAGCTTTCTCCCTGGGTTCCTGCCCGTGCTGATGAATGGAACACCAGAGACCAGGAAGTGACAACCACACGTCTTTCTGTTGGATCCCAGGTAAATTGTAACTGTTATCTCTGGCCTTCCTAGAGTGTTCAGTGACATTGATATCCTGTGCCTTCACACTTCTCAAACATTTGTACTTCCTCCAAGGAAGTACTTCCTCCCCTTTTTTTTTTCCAGAAAAGATTGGACCTAGCCTTATGAGCAGTGGGGCTCCTTGCTGAATCATCTCTCTTACGATTCTTTATAGTATCCTCTGCTTCATTTGGACATAACATACACTTGGTTCCTGATCTCAACTCCTCCTTAGGGCCCTTCTGTGTTTAACCCATAATCATTCATCCTTAGAAGATCCATGGAGTTATCTTGGTAGTCATCGGTATTAGTGTTGTTACAGGGACCAGTGAAAGATATCCACACAGCAAGGGGTTTCTCCTACAAAGAGAACGTGCATAAGATTCCTGCTCACAGAGACCTCTACCAGGAGATCAGGAAGGAGAGTGTCGGAAACATGGTCTCCTTGGGTAAGGATTCTTTCTCTTTTCAAATCAAAGCTTAGAAGATTTCTAATATGTTCATTTCTACTGATGATAAAATAGTTAGTTATAAGTGTTAGCACTTAAAGAACGTTTATGGGTTGTCTAGTGTAATTGCTTATTAATCTTCTCTGACTTCACTCATCCCTCTTTCCAATAAAAAATATGTATATATATACACATAGATATATGTAATTTAGTGATTTAAAAAACGGAGGGTGTTATATATGACTGTCATAGTTATATTATTTAAGAATATAAACTTACACACAGCCACTAGACTAAAATCTCCGTTAAGCTGCAAGGTCTTTTTAGGGTTTGTTTTTGTTTAACTGTAGTAACCCCAACACTTGCCATGGTGCCTGACACATGGTGGGTGCCTGGTAAATGTTAGATAAATGTAAATTTTATAAACAGAAGAAAAAAAATAATTTAAATACAATAACCTTGGTAGCATGTTGTAAATTAATTAAATAGCATGAATTTATAGGTAGTACAAGCCACTTAAATGTCAGTCTCTAAAAGCAAATTTTTGGAGGATTATGTCTACATCTGCTTTAGTAGTAGGAATAAGTATAATTCATATGTGAGCTACAAGTCATTTCTACTTATAAATTACATTATAGGCCTGTACACACTGTAGATATACACTATAGATAATATACTACACTATTATATACTGTATACACTGTAAATACCATAGATACTGTAGACCTGTACTGTCAAATAGGGTAGCCACTAGCTACGTGTCCAAAAACCAAACCAAACCCCTTGCCATCGAGTCGATTCCAACTCATAGTGACCCCGTAGGACCCATTAAGGAGTGTCTAGTGAATTCAAACTGCCGACCTTTTGGTTAGAAGCCGGAGTTCTTCACCGCTGCACCACCAAGGCTCCTAGGTACATGTAGATATTTAAATTTATTAGATTAACTAAAATTAAAAATTCAGTTCCTCAGTGAGAGTAGCTACATTTTAAGTACTTAATAGCTGTATTGGAGAGCACAACTATAGAACATTTCCATCATCGCAGAAAATTTTATTGGACAGTGCTATGTGTAGACACTAATATACAGAGGTTATAAAATGGACTGCATCAAGCTGAATAGATTAAAGATAAACCAACAGTTGTTTGTAATTAGAAAGGAATTAAAGCAATGGAAGAAATGACCAACTTAAGGTGACATTGATGATGCACCAATAACAAGCACTCTTCCCCAAAACAGCACACATTCCAACCATCTGCCCATCTATGTACACATTAGACTCTTGGATCACATATCCAAACCTAGTAAATTACTGAATTAGAGTTCTTAGGAAACTCTGCCACTAGTTGGCTAGGGACTATGCTTTGAGAATTCAGATTTAGCGCAGCCCCTTCATCTCACGTACAAGAAGACATAGGCCGAGAGACGCCTTTCTTATCTTTCATCTTAGATTGCAAACTAATGGCTCATGGGCTGAATCTGGCCTGCCTGCACACCTATTTTGGCCTGCACAGTGTTTTAATTTAAAATTAGTTTATAAATCTGGATTTCCGGTATCTATTGAAACATCTAAAGTCAGATACCATGGGCCACATTCCCACCTAGCAGTAGTTGGCCAGAGCTGAGTAAAGGGCTCATGCTGAACTGCCCGCATTCCCACTCCAGCCTCCTCACTAATTTACATTGTCTCCTTAGTCCTTATAGATGTTTGAGCCTGCCTCCCCATTGTCTGCATACCTATTTCTCTCACATAAAAATAAAGAACAAATCTCCATCCCCAGGGTTCTTTCAGAATGGGTTTTATTTGATGCTGCTTCTCTAGGAGAATTCCGTGAAGCTTCTGTGTATGTTGTCTGGGGAAGAAAACTAATTTTGTTACATACCTATTGAGCATTGGACATTTTACAGATGATTATTTAATCTTCCCAGCATCTCTTTGAGTACATGGTATTATCCCCCAGGAAACTAAGGCTCAGAGAGGTTAAGAAACTTCCTTTGGTCAAAAAGTAAACTAAGTAGTGAAGCTAGGATTCAAATTTAAGACATGTTGATCACTACAGTATTGTAAATGAACAAACTCTCAATTTGCTTCTGTGTTCTCTACGTCTCTTCTGTTATCTTGCCAAAATATCTCCAAGAATTCTTGATTTCTTATCTCTTATATCCGTAGTATATCGGTGTGTGTGTGTATCTGTGGGCAGAGGATGGGGAGGTATAGGGAGCAGATGCAGGCACACTTTATTTTATAAATAAATATTGATTAGGAGCATGCCCTGAACCTAACACTATGTTAGGTACTGAGAGAAAATCAAAGGTAATAAAATAGTATATGGTTCTTACCCTCAAAGGCTTTCTAGACTAGCTAGGGAAGTAAGTGGTACATACATGGAAAGTAAAATAATAGTCTGAGTTGTCAGAAGTCATGTAAGAGTAACAACAGTGTGCACTATCATGGTGAAGGCTTTAGGAGAGAGGTGAATTGGACAGGACCTTTAAAGGATAGGTGTGAGTAAGTAGTCCAGGAGAGCAGGCTCAGCAGAAGATTGTGGCATGCAGTAATGACCCCTATGTCTAGCATGAAATGTGTTTCTCTTACTGTAGGAGGTTCAGTGTCTACTACTAGCAAGATAGCCCAGTTGGAGCAAAGAAAGGAGCCACGGACTATAGGTCTTCATTCCTCTAATAAGAGGAATACCCTCCGAAGCAACTATATCAAGGAAAAGTCAGTTCAGGCTGTTCAGATCCCTACAAGAAGTGCAGGAAAACTGTGGCGAGAGCAACAACAGTGGGGTTTAGAAGATGAAAAAATAGCAGGTGTACATTGGAGCTATGAGGAAACCAAGACTTTTCTTGCGATTCTCAGAGAGTCCCGCTTCTATGAAACGCTTCAGGCTTGTCCCCGAAACAGCCAGGTATATGGTGCTGTGGCTGAATGGTTGCGGGAATGTGGCTTCCTCCGAACACCAGAACAGTGTCGGACCAAGTTCAAAAGTCTCCAGAAGAACTATCGAAAAGTGAGAAATGGCCACATTCTCGAACCCTGTGCCTTCTTTGAGGACATGGATGCTTTGTTGAATCCCACAGCCTATGCTTCATCCTCTGATAAGCCAAAGGAGATGATATCTGTCCCCAGACTAAAGAGAATTGTTATCAGTAATAAAGAACAGATTCGTTTGGTGGAAGAGGAAGAAATGGCAGAAGAATCAGACGGTGATGAAATGGGCATTGAATTAATCCGGAAATCTGAAATTCGTGGTACCCCTGTTTTGTTTCAAAACCTAAGTGGTAAGATTTGTGCTTTTTTTTTCTGGTATGAAGTTCCACTTCTTATGGAAAAAGGGATAGATAAGAAGTGACCAAACCTGGGGAGTGCCATCAAGCACTCTTGCCACTTATCACTATAATATGGGCACGTAACTAAAGTACTCACGGCTGTTTGTTGTTGCCCTGCAGTGCAGTATGAATAACAGACTGAGTGGCTGTGGTGGGTTTTTTTTTTGTTTGTTTGTTTATTTTTCAGTTTAGAGCTCAGCATGGATCTGGAGTACTTGGGGCCTTCTGGAAAGAACATAAATGGAGTTAAAGGGTTCTAAGGGTCTAGCATTATCTGGGAATTGGTATAAACCAATCAGTTGCATTATATTGTAGTAAGTTAGGAATGCAAGGTTACATTCTCTAGGATAATCAAACTAATGTGTAACAAACAAGTTAAAACAGTGAAAAATGAAATAATAAAAATTTATGATTAAAAGAAGACCAGGAGAAAAAAAGGAACATGAAATAAATGGGTTAAATGAAAAGCTAATAGCAAGATGGTAAATGTAAATCCGAATGTATCATTAATTATAAACTTAAAAAAGATTGTCAGACATAAAAATCTATGTTTCTTACAAGAGATACATCTCAACTATAAGAACACAGAGACTGCTAGTTAATACTGTGTGACAGTAGACACATCATATAACCGCTTTAAGCCTCAATTTTCTCATCTGTAAAATAAGACTAAAAATTCCCCCACAGGGTTGTTGTTAGTGTTAAGTGGGAAAATACAGGTGAAGGCATGTTGCAAATGCTAAAAACATTGCCTGGTATCACCGTTACTAGTAATGTTTTTCTAGTTTAGCTTATGAAAAAATGATAGGTTCTTAGATAGAATGGAAAAATAAATCAGGAAAAGAGAGCTGGGAGCATACTCAGGACAATACCTGCTCAAAAGAAACAGTTCTGATGAAAAAGATGCAATCTGGAAATCCATAGACATGAGGATGAGGCTCTTGGGATGACCTCAGGTATGAGATACAGTGATAGGACTGGAAAAGACTACCCAGTGAGAGGATAGAAATGACTTTTCCTACTGCAGATTACAAAACGCACAAAAAGCCTGTTTAACAAACTGTATTCAGGTGTGTCCTGAAAAGCTTTATTCTGTTATAAGAACAGAATATCTGCTTGTCTTGCAGATCATTTCATCTCTCAAAGTAGTGGAATCAATGGCAACAAAAATTGCTCTGGACATATTTCTCCTCTTCAAGGAAAACTGATCAAAGAAATGATAGGAACTTTGGGAGGAAAAGTTCTTATTGGGTGTCCCAGTCCAGTATTCTTAACTATTTTCGAAAGGACACTTCTAGACCACTAGATCCTTTAGTTAATTACCATAGGAATGGCATATTTGGGGACTGTTCTACACTTTTACTCTTCCATGTAAACTTTTAAGTTCAGCTTATCAGTTTCAACTTAAAAATCCTACTGGGATTTTTTATTTTATAGATTCACTTGAGAATTAATATCGACGACTGGGATCTTCCTATCCATAAACATAGCATCTCTCTATTTTTTTAAGCTCTTTTATGTCCTTCAATAAAATACAGATTTTTTATATAGACCTTCTCATTTCTTGTTAAGCTTATTCCTAGACATTTCATAGTTCTTCTTGCTACAGTGAATGTGATTTTTTTTTTCTTACCTGTTACATTTTGTAATGTATATAGTATAGAGGCTACAGACTCCTTTTTTTATATCTTTGAACTTTGCCCTTGAATGTCAGGTGTGCACTGGGGCTATGAGGAAACCAAGACTTTTCTTGATATCCTCCGTGAGACTCGGTTTTATGAAGCACTTCAAGCGTGTCATCGGAAGAGCAAATTGTATGGGGCCGTGGCTGAACAGCTGCGAGAGTGTGGCTTCCTCCGTACACCTGAACAGTGCCGGACCAAGTTCAAAAGCCTACAGAAGAGCTACCGCAAAGTGAAAAATGGCCATGTGCTAGAGTCCTGTGCTTTCTACAAAGAGATGGATGCCCTGATTAACTCACGGGTATCTGCCGCTTCCAGCAACACCCTAGAAGAAGTCCCATCACCCTCAAGGCAAGAAAGAGAGGATGTTGAGACTGAGCACCAGGAACCTACAGGCTGGGAACCTGAGGAGACTTCACAGGAGGCAATAGTAGAAGATTCTGGCAGTGAGAGAATGAGTCAGGAGGAAACTGTACAAGAGCCAGAATTCCTGGGATCTACAGGCGGGCTGCAAAGCCCAAGTGGTAAGGCTCATTAAAAGGTTTTAGTCTAAAACAGAAGCAAATGTGATTTACTGAAAAATTAGTAGATCTGGCACACTGCTTATGACTGTTCATTCGTTCAACAAATATTTGACTGCCAGGCACTATTTGAGGACCAGGGGATTCAGCAGTGAATGAAACGAAATCCCTGTTCTCATGGTGCTTCCATTCAAGTAAGGAGTTTATATTCTGGTGTTATGGTCTTTGGGACCTCAGTGTCAGCTTTTGTGTGTATAGGTCAGACAGTTTCCTGTATCTTGTGGGAATACTGGGCAGGAGAGAGGGGGACTTGGAATTTATACATAAGGAAAAAAGGTAGATGGAAGAGATGTGTCCATAAGCTCAAAACAGGACTATCTCACAGTTACATGTGATACACATTGAGAAAAAGGATAGAGAAATAAGAAAGACACTTTATTTTGGCCCTGAGTTCCACCTGCATCATTTCTACTGACTGCCAGTAGCACCAAATGGATGTCCTACCAGCAGCTCAGACTTAAAGTGTTCAAAACTAAAATCACTATCTTTCTTCCCACATTGTGGCTCTTAACTGTGTCCCCCCACTGCTCATCCAGACTTAAAACCTTAGAGGTATTTTTGATACCTCCTCTCTCATCATTTACATCCAGGCAGATGGCATGTTTTGTCAACTGTTACAGACTATTGCTTCTCTCTGTCCCCTCTTTAGTTACATAGCCACTATCCTAGCTCAGTGTTTATCTTTTGCCTAAACTATCGTAAGAGTCTCCAAACCAGTTTTCCCCATCCAAATTTGTATTAAAATTTCACAGCCATCTTTAATCTGGTCTCATCTTATCCTTCCAGCCTTACCCATTATTATTTTTTCCCCACACTCTATGCTTATTCAAAACAAAGCTACATGCTATTTCCTACACATGCTTTAAGATTTCTCACATTTAAACCTTAACTCATGTTGTTCCCTCCACCCTGAATGTCCTTGGCATATTTACATGTCCAGATTATCTTTCAACTCCCATGATACTTTGTCTTTCTCTGTCTTATGGCACTGAACCTTTTGTATGTCCTAAGATCTCCCAGTAGATGGTGAGTTCCTGGAAGACAGGGGTCTTTCTACAGCACTGTATTAAGCCCTCAGTTTACGTTTGAATATGTGATGTAGTTCAGGACTTATTTCTTGGAGCAAATGGGTCTAGTTCGACTGGATTGATTGTGGACCAAGGCCTAGCAAGAGAAAGTTATGTCCAGGTACATTAGAGAAGGAAGCCCATACATATGCACTCTGATAGTGTTTATACGGATTTTTTAGTATGAAAGCAGAAATTATTAAGTCTTAACCCTGATTAGACAACTCTGGTTATTCTCGAATACTTTCCCCATACCAACATGTCTGGCAGTAGATAAACACGCTGTGCCTCTAAGGAAACAAAGTCCTTTGGTACCATCTCCTGTGAGTCTTGTTTTTCAGGTGAGCCCGAGACCTGTCATCAAATTAGCCAAGTCATCAGGCTCTAGCTGAGCCAATGCGTAGGCTGTGACTTCCTCCAAATCCCATAACAATGTTGGATCCAGTCAGAATGCTTCAAAAGAACTACTGCTAAATGAAAAGACATCATTGTTAGAGCTTTTTCCTTAAGTTAATAGATTGCTAAATGGCTGTCCCGCTTCCCCCAATGCATGCCACAGTCACTGCATGTGGGAGTGAGAGATGTCAGCAGTTTCAGCTGAATATGTGGAAGGAAAGTGTTGAAAATGGCAGTATAAACAAGGCAGTATATAGGAAAATGCCTTAGAGCACGAGTTGGGAAATCAGACAAATTTTGGATTGGGCTGAAGTCATGCAACTTGTATAATATTTATGGATGAAATAACAGAATGTCTGAAATTTGCTTCAAAATAGGCTGGGTAGAGAGTGCAGAGAGTGTGTAGGAATAAAGAAGAAACAAGAGTGAATCATTGTTAAAGCTGAGTAAGTGCTTCATGGAAGTTCATTGTACATACTATTTTCGCTACTTTTCTACATGTTTGAATTTTCCATAATAAAAAGTTAATTCAGAAATCACACAGTTAATAAGTGACCACGATGGGATCAGAACCAGAGCTGTCTGATTCCAAAGCCTTTGTCTCTTCAGTATTTAGTGTGCTCTGTTCTGAAAACTTAATGGAAAAGATAGGATCCAAGATGTACCTTATAGTGTTTGTGAGATTTAGATGGAAGAGTGAGGAGAAGATAATTCCAATTTTAAGGAACAGTGAGAATTACAATTTGAATGAGTGCGGTCTATGTGTGACACAGCCAGACACAGAAAGTGACAGAAACATTTGAGGAAAAGAAAGAAATACTTTTGAGTAGGAAGTGATTAGATATTGATGAACTTAGTGGTCCATTTGGGCTTGGTTAGAATCTACTCTAAACACTGTTATAATTCAATTTAGTATGGATGTGAAATGATGAAAACAGGATGAATTCAAGTGTAACTGCAGGGAGATAAGCTAAGTTGTTCTCATGTAATCAGGATGTGGATGGGGATAATGACTTGGATTATAATTTAATTCAGAAAACATTTCTGAAGGCCTACTCTGTACTGGGTGTTACTAAAAAGAGGTTGCCCTGTTCATAGAACTGGAAGAAAATAGAGCATAATGAATCAGGGAAGAGTCACAGGATCTGAGGCCAGTGAAGTAGATAGGGACCATAGCATATGGAGCCTTGTAGACCAAAAAAAACCAAACCCATTACAATTGAGTCGATTCCAACTCATGGCAACTCCAAGTGTTACAGAATAGAACTGTTCCATAGGATTTTCTAGGCTGTAATCTTTACAGAAGCAGATTGCCAGTCCTTTCTTCCACAGTGCCACTGGGTTGGTTCAAACTGCCAACCTTTAGGTTAGTAGTTGAGCACAGACCATTTGTACAACCCAGGGACCTATGGAGTCTTACAGGCCATGTTAATTGTTTGATGTTAATACAGGGATTGTGTGAAATTTTTATTGTCTTTTTGTTTTTTCAGATTTTGAAATTGGAAATAGCATCAAGGAGGATCCAAGACAGGCAATATATAAGGACATGGAACAGCATAGGGCATTAATAGAAAAGTCTAAAAGGATTGTTTCCGAAAATACTGATCCAGGTAGATATCACAAAAGCGAACACATCTCAGGAAGACAATGGGAAAACCTTCAAGAAATTAGACAGGGAAAGCTGGTGTCCCAGCCTAGAGATTTAGGGAAAGCTGTAATGCATCAGAGGCCTTTCATGGGGAGGAAACCCTACAGACTTCTCAAATATGGAGAAAGCTTTGGCAGGAGTGCTCGTCTTATGTGCCGGATGACCCACCAGAAGGAAAATCCATATAAATGCAGTGTCTGTGGGAAGTGCTTTGGTAGAAGCAGGAGCCTAATTAGACACCAAAGAATCCACACAGGAGAAAAACCTTTTAAATGTCTTGACTGTGGGAAAAGCTTTAATGACTCCTCAAATTTTGGTGCCCACCAGAGAATTCACACGGGAGAAAAACCCTACAGATGTGGAGAATGTGGAAAATGCTTCAGTCAAAGCTCAAGTCTTATTATACATCAGAGAACCCACACAGGTGAGAAGCCTTATCAGTGTGGGGAGTGTGGGAAAAGTTTTACCAACAGTTCTCATTTCAGCACCCACCGGAGAGTCCACACTGGTGAGAATCCCTACAAATGTGTAGATTGTGAAAAAAGTTTCAATAACTGTACAAGATTTCGAGAACATCAGCGAACACACACTGGAGAGAAGCCCTATGGATGTGCCCATTGTGGTAAACGTTTCAGTAAGAGTTCTGTTCTTACCAAACACCGGGAAGTTCACATGCGAGAAAAGCTGCCATACCTGTCATCTGTGTATTCCCCAGAGAACACACATAAGGGAAAGATTGATGAGTTCAGGAAAACTTTTTGATGATGATCTCTTCACTTCCTAAATGTCCCTTTAGCCATTTTACCCTAATCTCACTATTGGAAGCAATTGTTTCTTAGCTCTAAGGTGTAATTCCCAAGATAAGCTTGAGAATATAAATAAACTAGAGACTTGGATCCTTTTCTCACCTCTGCCTCTAACTTCATCAGTCTGTTCTTCTATGTGTCTCCACTTCTCCTTTAATAAAGTGGAGAAGACATATAGTCTGAGTTCAGAATGAAATTCTCTTCACTATGTTGAGGCCACTGCCATTGGATTGCTAATTCCAGCAACATTCAAGATTCTTCAGTGTAAGAATTATTTCCAAGGAGATAGAAAATGCTGAAAGTATTTTTTATGATCTACTACATGATATCCTGGGTGCAACTTGATCACAAGAGTTTCATGTTTGGGTAGAGCTTTCATGAGTCTGATCAGAACTCTGCCAGGTTCATCTTGGTTTTGAAGATGTCCACAAAAGGAGATTGAAGATTTTATAGCTTTCTTCATAAATCTGCTGCATTGTACCTTTTCTGTGACAGAAAGTTGATCCAGATAGCTAAGGTAGAATCCCTGTACTGTCATTGAGATCATGTTACTAATGCCTTGCCCTCCTTAGAGATGAGAAGCAACTGATCACCATCATCCTTCATATACTAACCTTTCCAGTACCTAAGGGTTTAAATCCCCTTGGCTGCTTTTTTTCTATGCTTTAAGTAATCCCAGTTCCTTTTATAAGTCCTACACTTACCTCTTAATTGTTTTGGGTGCTTTTATCTGACTCTTCTGAACTATCGTGCCCTTCTCAGATTGAATAGGATGCATGCACATGGTGTGTCTCACCAAGATAAAGTAGAATTGCATACATGTTCCAGTTCTACCCTGTATCTTTTGTGGTTCTTATCTAAAACATGACTGATAAGTTGGTGTATTTTAATGGTGTATTTTATGCCTTCTACCTCATACCAGTGTAATATTATATAGTAATGTTTCTGAGATTAGGGAGGAGAGGAGGAAGGGAGGTAGAGACCTGAAACATCTAATATTTCATCTAATATTTCTAAGACCAGTTGGACTCCTTAGGCCTACTTTAGGCCTACTTCAGTCCAGACCCACACCTCCAGGGCAGGCTGTTAAATATACTAGTCTCTGTTTTTGAGCCTTCTAGTTCCTGTTCAGACGGTCTTAAACCTAACTGTAGAGCACTGAGTAATTTATATAACTCTATAGCTCATTGCATGGAAGTGGAAATACTTCCAGAAACTTCCAGTCCAGAACACTGTTTTTGGTTTCCTCATTTACCTGTTTGTCTGAAAATCTCTTTGATAACCCCATGGTACTAGCCCAGTAAATACTGAAGGGTTCAGATGGGAATATAGTTAATTCCTTTATGTACGTTACAGATGAAACCCAGGAATCTGGTCCTCCTGAGGCCAGTGGCATTTATGCCTTGAATAGGTAACCTAGAGTGGCTTTGCTTTGGGGAGAGAAAAACCATAAGTTTAGTAGAAAGATAACCAGAGTCAGGGCTATGTGTAGATTGTTCTCTTGATCTTCCTTTGTCAGATGCTTTCTTACTTGAAGACATCTGGAGATATTGTATCTCTTTTGAGTAGGTTTCAATCTTTATAAACCTGTTCAGCATAGTACCAACGAGGGTGGGCATTGTGGAAAGAAATCCAACTTACGGTGCCAGAATAGGGTGTGGCCTGTTGGAATGCAGGTGACTCAGGTAAATATTGATAAATGTTTCTGATTTATGTTTGTTGGGAATGTTGTGATTGCTCATGTCCGAGTAGGTTGATTTCCTCTATGTATCTGAATTATAGACTCCAATAGTAAGTGCCGTTTCAGGTTGGTAGTGTACCTAGCACAGTACGATGTGTGTGGTGCCTGTGGGCTTGTGCTTATATTGTGTAGATGTTCTGGAATTCCAGCTCTAGAGAAGATGTACGTTAATAGAAATCATCACTTAGTAATATGTACACAGGATTGTTAAATATATGGAAACATGGTTCACAAAAGTCGATGATTTATTCATGTTGTTGTTAGCTGCCATTGAGTCAGTTCTGACTCATAGCAACCCCATGTACAACAGAACGAAATACTGCCCGGGCCTGCACCATCCTCACAATTGTTGTGGTGTTTTGAGGCCATTGTTGCAGCCACTGTGTCAGTCCGTCTCGTTGAGGGTCTTCCTCCTCTTAGGTAATCTAGCATGATGTCATTCTCCATAAATATTTATTAAGCACTACTATATGTAAGGCTGTGTTCTAGGTACAATGTATTCAGTAATACAGAAATGAAAAAGAGGACATAGTGCCTGTACTCAAGGAACATAACCATCTATAGAAGAAGTAATTGCAGTAAAAGGTAATGCCAGTTATATCCATGTCAGTTACAGAAAGTCAGTAAATCAGTCATAAGAAAATCACCTTCACTTGCAAACGAATTTCTCTGAATTGCCTAAAATTGGTTTGTGTACCTGTCTCTCATACTTCCCCAGTGACAGGAAAGGTTTGAGATCTGTTCCATCCCCAATGAAACCAGCATTCTATTTGACTCTTATATGACTAGGATCAAGCTGAGGTGGAATTTGGGTTCCCTGTTTGTATTCCTGTCTTCCACATTTCTTGACATTTCTTGAAGTTGTCAAGGATTTCATTTTGCTTAGATCCACAATCAATGCCCATGGAAGCAGCAGTCAAGAAATAAAATGATGTATGATTGCATTGGGCAAATCTGCTACAAAAAACATAAAAAAGCAAATATGTCCCTTTGAGGACTAAGGTGTACCTGACCCAAGCCATGGTATTTTCAGTCACCTCATATGCGTGTGAAAGCTGAACAATGAGTAAGGAAGACCGAGTAAGAATTGATGCCTTTGAATTATGGTGTTGGCAAAGAATATTGAATATACCATGGACTTCCACAAGAACGAACAAACCTGTCTTGGAGGAAGTATAGCCAGAATGCTCCTTAGAAGGGAGGATGGTGAGACTTAGTCTTACATACTTCGGACATGTTACCAGGAGAGACCAGTCCCTGGAGAAGGACATCATTCTTGATAAAGTAGAGAGTCAGTAAGAAAGAGGAAGACCCTCAATGAGATGGATTGACACAGTGGCTGCAATAATGGGCTCAAACATAGTAATGATTGTGAGGATGGAGCAGGACTGGGCAGTGGTTCATTCTGTTGTACGTAGGGTTGCTACGAGTCGGAACTGATTCGACGGCACCTAACAACAGCAAACATTTATATTCCTAATTGTAAATGGGCTGTTTGAACATGTATTAAATTGACTTAATGATGTTTGTCTCTGTTTAGAAGAAGTAAAAGTTTTTACTCACCTTCTTAGACCAAAGCTATGTGTCTCCCTGCAGTCAAAATGAATTATCATATTATCTGATTAAAGTGTCTTTTATATCACAGAAGGTCCCTGGGTGGCACAAACAGCTTGTGCTTGACTACTTACTGAAAGTTTAGCAATTCAAAGCCACCCATAGGTGCTTCTGTAAGATTAAACCCATTGCGGTTGAGTCAACTAGGGCTCATAATGACCCTATAACCGCTGAAAACCCTATGGAGCACAGTTCTACTCTGAAACACGTGGAGTCACCATGAGTTGGAACTGACTCAGCAGCAAGAGGTTTGGGGTTTTTTTTGGTATATCACATGACATTACCTTTATGAGGATCCTTTAAAAAAGGTTTTTTGTTGTTTGTTTGTTCCCCGCTCCCCACTCCTAGATCTCAGTACCAGGGAAAGCTCCGTTTCTTTAAAAAAAAAAAAAGTTTTTATCTTACAAACACTGTGATTTTTTTATAACTTACTGCTGTTCTGTGTCCTGACTGCTGGAAAGCTCAACAAAACTTACAGCCCACCTCAACCAACTACCTAAAACCTTTATTTACTTAATTTTATCTTATTTCTTTAGAAATTGTCTCAAATCCTATTTTTGAAGAGATATAGACAAATAGACATTTTATATCCTGACTTACCCAAAGCACTTTGGAAACCAGGTTTGTATTTCCTGCCTAGGCTTGCTTTGTTACTCCCACCATACCTCCAATTCTTACCAGTGATTTTATTACAGTTACAACCTAATTCATTCATCTAGGAGGAAACCTTAGTTTTTTTTAAAAAAAGGAAAATTTCACACATAAACAGCTCAGGGCAGCCTGCTATGGTGAAATGAACATTAGACCAGAAGCCAAGAGAGACAGATTCTAGCCTTGTCACTTCCACTTTTACTGAGTGGTGTTTGACAAATCATAGCCTCTCTCTGGGCCTTAGTTCCTCTTCCAAAGATAAATTGAACTGGATTGTCAAGACTGCTCAGGCTGTAATATTTCATGAGGCTATGGATACATAGTATAGATGAGGAAGAGGTTATAAGACCATGGTATCTGGCCTGGCTCACCTTTGCATGCAGCATCCGGGCCATACTGAACCAATCTCATGCTTTAGAAGAGGAATGCAGTGACAGCAAAGTCAGTCCGGGAGTAAGTAGAACAGATGAATCTTTCATGTTCAACAGCAGGCAGCTCCCAAGACACCTCAATAGCCAATTGCAGGTAGCTTCAGTGAAGAAAGCTTATTTTGTGAGGTCTGGTGCCCAGTGACAGAACTGTGAGGGAGCTGGGGAAACCCCAGATGGAAAAAGACTGGGTAACTTGTGTAGGTCTAAACCTTTGCCCCTCTCTGAATGCATTCCAAGACCAAGTATAAATGTATGTCTCATTTGTTTTGTATTAACGTTGACTTAGATGTCTTCTTGAAAACTTGTATGTGAAATAAATGTCTGAAATAAATGACTCCCATTGGTTTCTGCCGTAATTTGAAGATGTCTTTCTGTTTAGGGAAAAGAAATCCAAGAGGTTAATAAAAATTGATCCTAGTATGTAGCTAATTAAGAAATATTTCAATCTCATTCCAGTTCACTGCTGTCTCTCACAACTAACGGATTTTTTTTGTAAGTTCACAGCTATTTCTGTGCAGC